CTTCTCACTCAATAAGGGTGGAAACTGTGTCAGTTAGTTAACCCTATATGCTCAGGACTGTAAATAGAGTTCCTGGAACAAGGCAGAAACCATATGAAAAACAAATAAATACACACACACACACACACACATAATTGGGTCGGTTAAAATTGAATGGGAAACATGTAAAATGATTAAAACAGCAGACTCAAAGGGGACAGGGACAGCCAGGTGAGCAAGAAGAGGATGATGAATAAATTCCACGGGGCTAAATTTATGGGAGCTCCTGAATAACTGTTCAGCACCCCGAGAGCGGACAGCTCCCTCCCTGGCCATGGGCTCCTAGGGGCCTCTTCCCAGCAGAAAAAGACTCTTGACATGAATTTAGAGGAAACAGGGAGTGTCCATGACTGTGTGCGGCAGAGCAAGAGTGGCTGCCTTCGAGAAGATGGATTGACAGCCCTTAATTATGTTCTTCAGATCAAGTCCCAGGGACAGAGATTTTGTTGGCAGAGATCAATCAACCCTGTAGACACTCTGAGAGGAAGAGGGAAGACCCAGGTGTTCTCTCGCATCGATCAGAGAGACTTGGCTACACCTGCTTCAGTGGCGGAAAGATGGAAGAAAAGAGGGAAGGGACCAGAATCAGGGATGTAGCCGAGGTGAACTGAAAGAGCTTCTCCACGGACCTGCCTGAGATTCCACCATTACAGCCGCTCGGTGTGGGCTTCGGTGTAGGTTAAGGCGTAATCTCAACCAGACAGGGCAGCCTAGCGGAGAGGACTGGGACTCAAGATGATTAGACAGGGGAAGATAGGGCCATTTTGGAGGCTTGAGTGCACATGCCCGGGTGTCTGGAGTAGACAGGAGCGTGTTGAGTAGCCAGAGGTCAGCACGAGGACACTGCTCCTGGAGAGCATCATGGAATGGGCAGAGCGGGCTTCACTTCCTTTAACATTTTGCTTAAGTCGGTCCACGTCACGAAGACCAGGTCTGCTGTGCCACGCCCCTGCTGGGTTTTATCAAGCAGACCATCACTGACCACCTGATAAAGCGCGGACTCTCTAGCCCGGTGAACAAGAACCCAGAATTTGCTCCTGCCAAACTCCTCAGCCCCTTTTCTTTGTCACTTGGCATCGTTTAGGCTCCATCTCAACACTAAATTATTCACGCACCTTTGTGACTCCAGACCTTTGCACCTGCTGTACCCAGTGTGGGAATGCCCTGTGTTCTGTCTCTTACCCCATTCCTCCAAATCGTCCCACGAGGCTCAATTCAAGCATCGCCTGCTCTAAGGTGTCTTCCCTGAGTGTCCCACCCTCACCTCCACTTGAAATATCAAAAGTTTTAGTGGCATTTCCCGGGGTGTGTCCCAAAGCCAACTCTGTACGGAAATTGCTTGTTTTGGTGTCTTTCTCCTTGAGACTGTGTTCTGTTCACCCCCGTATCTGTGGTGTCCAGCATAGGTTCTGGTGAACAGCAGGCATTTGGTTACAGTTGGATGAAATTAATAATGGTTATTATAAACTAACATCCATGGATGGCACATCTTGTATAGAACTTCCCTAAGCATTCTGCCTGCCTCCAAGGGGCTTCTACTCAAGAGTCCTGTGTGAGCATGAAAAGATGCTCAACGTCCGGAATCATTAGGGGAATGCAAATCAAAACCACAGTGAGATGCCACCTCACACCTGTTAGGATGGCAACTATCAAAAAAAATAATAATAATAGCAAGTGTTGGCAAGGATGTGGAGAAGCTGAAATTCATGTGCAGTATTCATGGGAATGCAAAATGGTGCAGCCACTACAGAAAACACAATAGCAATTCCTCAACAAATCAAAAATAGAATTACCATATGATCCAGCTCTTCGGGTATAAGCCCCAAAGAATCAAAAGCAGGGGCTTAAGACATATTTGTACACCCGTGCTCACAGCAGCCTTATTCACAAAAACTAAAACATGCAAGCAATGAATGAATAAATCAAATGAGGTATATTACACACAATGAAATATTATTCCGCCTTAAAAAAGGAAATTCTGACACACACCACAACACGGATAAAGCTTGAGGACATCATGCTAAGGGAAATAAGCCAGTCACAAAAGGACACATATAATATGGTTTCACTTATATGATGTATCTAGAATAGGCAAATTTACAGAGACAGAAAGTAGAATGGTGGTTTCCAGCGCTTGGAAGGAGGAGTCATTGAGGGGTTATTTTTTAACGGGTATGGAGTTCCAGTCCTGCAAGATGAAAAAAGTTACAGAGGTGGATGGTGGTGATGGTTGCACAACAGTGTGAACGTACTTAATACCACCAGTCTTAAAAAACGGTTAAGGTCGTTAAGTTTATGCTATGTGTATTTTACCACAATTGAAACACGAAACAAAGCAGAAAACCCTGTGTAAGGAATCCGAGAGCCTGAGCTCAAATCCCAACTCAGCCGCTACCTGGCCGGTGGTCATGGCCTCAGCTGCCTCAGCTGTGAGATGGGGCTGGCTCCCAGAGAGGGAAGGCTTTATCTTTTGAGAACTGTCTCAATCCCGGTTCTGTAACCTTCTGACATTGTGCATGATATTTTGCGATAAGAGTTTGCTCATCTGTGATAAAAGACATACGATATTTTTGTTTCGGGAATACAAAATATCCAGCAAGTTCCTGCAAAATGAGAATAGTTCCCCGGGAAATAGTCTTGGCATGAAAAACCAACATTTAGACCCCACGTGGTAGGCACACAGGGGACTTCACCGAGGCCCGTTTTACACCCCGACAATGAATTCCCTCTACCGCCGCCTAGCGTCTAATAACAATATTGACCTTTCCTAGCTGTCAAACTTGTCTTATTAAATCCTGAGGTCTTAACTGCTTTGCACACGGAGGCCGATAGTTTGCCCACCCGAGCACGTGTTCATGTATAATTCATGGCATATCCCACGTTGCCTGGCAAATGAATATTTATCAGCTTTTTCATAAGAGGCAGGATGGTGTTCCTTTCATTGCTACCAAAATGCTATGCTGCAGCAAATGAAATTTGTGAGCAAATAAAAAAAGAAGAAGAAGAAGAAGCAAACATTTCCGACCAAGTCCATTCTACTAGTAATTTTCCATTTTCTGAGGCCTCTCATGTATATGGAGGTGGTTTCAGTTTGGCTGTAACAGAGAACTGCTGAGTCGTCCAGAATAGAAAAGCTTCCATATGCCATTGCCCCCGCTGAAAATTCCCCCGCACCCCACTCCTGCACCATGTTCAACTGCAGGGGAGCCCAGGACCCTTTTGATGGCTCCATGCCAGACCCTCTGAATAGAGATCAAGTTTTGGGAAAGTGGGAATAAGGAATCCCAAATGAAGACTGGTGCAGAATGGTTGATGGCACCAAGCCCGGCAGAAACTCATGGCTTCCAAATGGACCACCACCCAGAGAAGGGACAGCCCTGAGCCACAGACATCTGGGTCTGATGTCTGCTCGCTCGGTGAGTTAGGAGGGCCCCGCAGAAAGCATCACCTTATCTGTTGAAGGAGGCCTAAGCTCCGGTTCCCACTGCGGAGAAAGCCAAAAAGGGACCTATAAACTGCGACTCTGCTTACTTCTAGCCTTCTGACTCATTAACTGGGGGTCGCAGGCACACGCAGACACATGAAGTTTCAACCTGGCTGTGAATAGAGTCTCTTCAGCTTGGCTGTCATCACCTTGGACTTGAAAGATGATGATGATACTGCCACTGCTGATGATGATGATGGTTGTTAATATATATTGAGCCTTTACTATGCACCAGGCCTTGCATGAGGTACACCAACTCCACTATTACATATCATCCTCCAAACACCCCACTGAGCTAGGCGTTGTTGTCGTTCCCACTTTACAGATGAGCAAACTGAGGAAGAAAGAGGAAGTAACTTTCTTAGGTTCACACAGCCCAACTGAGTGTCAAATTCAGGTCGGTTTGACCTTGAGGCCCATGCTTTTTCAATCACCTCCCCCTGGAATCAAGAAACTGGAGATTAAAGGGCAAATCCACAAATGCCTGGCTGTGTGGCCTCAGGAAGAGTCACTTCACCTCTAAGAGCCTGCATGTTGTCATTTGCAGAATAGAATGTAGCCACTCTTGTTTTGCAGGGCTATTGTGAAGACGCAGTGGGCTTTGCAAATTCTAACAAGCTCAATCATCATGGATAAGCTGTGGCCCTTCTCAATAGAAACACTTATAGACAGTTTGGCACCAGGAGTAAAAAGGAGATTCCATAAGTTGACAGGAGAGTTGGAGAAAGAAGACACATGGGGGGAAAATACGAAGTTAGGTGTGTGTGTTCATTCATTCATTCATTCACTCATTCAACAAAAAATGTAGGGAGCACACGCGAGGAGCCAGAAAACATCTAGGGGCTCTGCATAATTTCAGACGAGGATAAGTGCTATGCAAACATGGAAACAAGAAGATGTGCTGGACAGTGACATCTGAGCCGGGATCTGAATAACAAGATGACACCAGCCATGCAAAGGCTAGAAGAAAGAGTGTTCCAGGTGGAGGGACCAGCCAGTGCAAAGGCCCTGAGGCAAGGGGTGTGCATTATAATTCTCAAAGATGTGGCCCTAGCGTACACACCTTCCCGCACGTGCTGGACCCTGAAGCTCTCTTTTCAGAGACACTCGGGGTGCTGGTGCCAAGTGCAACATCCTTTGGAAATGGTGGCTTTTCATCTTGCTAGGGCCCCTTTTAGCTGGGACACCCTCTTCTCATCATTCTATTCTTATTCTTTCCCTGCACTTCCTTACACAGGGTTCAAAAGAGTCATTCTGGGATGGGTAGGGCCCCAACTGACGTTGTTGGGTGGGTGCAGTCTGGAGCAGGGGCCTAGGCAGAACCTGATGTCACCCTCCGCCTTCACCCCAGGGCCAAGATCTCAGATCCCAGCTGGTCCAGACGCCCCCTGGGGCCATCCCCTGTGGAACGGGAGCTCATCAGACCTCAGTTGGAGCATCCGGGGCCTCCACCCCTCTTGCATCCACCTTCACATACCTTCCTCTCGTCTATTCCCTCGGAGGTTGTCATGAGCTTCTTCAGGAGTGGAGGGTCCAGCACCTGGAACTGCCGGCGGAACTGAGCCAGCCCCATGTGGTCAGCATAGCCTGGGGAGGTGGAGCAGGCCGGAGAAGAACACGGAGTCCGGTTGAGAAGACTCAGCCCAGTGCCCCAAACCCCCAGACAGGAGTTCAGGGTCCTACTCCCAGCCTGACCACTAACTTCCTGGGTGGACTCATCTCTCGGGGCCTCAGTTTCTCCATTTGCTAATTTAAGACACTGGATTTGATCGGCACTTCCCAAATGCGTTCCCCAGAACAGAAATCCTACAAAATGCTCCACTGAAAGTTTGAGAAAGCTGCACACTCATCTGGCTCCTGGAAGTTCCCAGGGCATGTCAGGATCCTGGTCAAAGGCTCTGAGAACTCCTGCAGGGAAGATGCCTGGTTAGATTTGAGTTTCCCAACCTTGTTTGACCATGGGAAACGTTTTATCTAATACTCATTTCCACCCCATAGGCTGCACATGGGGACACTGCATTGGGCAGTGTCTAAGGGCTTCTGGAAGCCCACCATGTAGGGGAAACCCAGATGCATCCTCTTGTGTGGGAAATTGGGAAAAGAAGGGACATCTGAAAGCCATTGATAAATTCACCTAGTCATGTGAAGTCACACAGATAGTAAGTGCCCCAGCTGGGATTCAAACCCAGGCAGTGGAGAGTTGCCAAAGATGAGCAAAGACTAGGTCCTAAAGGAATTTGGACTCAAATCCCAGCCCTCGAGGTTTGGCCTTCTTCCTGGGCACAAGGAGCATGCATGGTAGAGCCTTAGTTGCTTCAGAAAGACCCCTCAAGTGACAGGGTCAGAGAAGGACTGGTAAAACCTCACTCCGATCGCGAGACTACTATACAATAAGCCAAACTCATAAACGAGGAGGAAGAGCTGTCATGAGTGTGTGTGGCTAATCCAGGAAGCCTTCCTTGGGGAAGAGGAGGGTCTCAGGCCAGCTCCGAAGGACATCAACAGCACAGAGATGGGGGACCCACAGGGGGCGGTTACAAGCCTGCGTCTTCCTTTTAGGTCAGACTTATCTGGGTGCACATCCCATCTCTGCCCTTATTAGTCCCATAATTGGGACAAATGACACCACCTCTTTGAGATTCAATTTCTTCCCTTGTCAGATGAGTATAACGAGATCCATTCTCACGTGGTCACTACAAGGATTAAATCCGATGGCAATTATAGTAAAAGCAACTACAGTAACAATCCGTGTGACGTGCTTTCCTGTGCCCTGTCATTCGTCTAAGCTTTATGTCCTTATTAACTCATCCAACCCTCGCAACAACTCTCTGAGGTGTGACCCATTACAGGAGAGGAAAGGGAAGTGTGCTCTGGGGACTTCCCTGGGGTCACACAGCTGGTGAGAGGTGGTGGCTGGAGTCAAGCCCAAGCCTTCTCCCTCCAGAGTCTGAGCTGTACCCAGCAGCTGTACAACAGGTAGTGTTTAATGAGTGTTTACTATGTGCCTTAGCACAGTGAGAACAGTCTCATTTAGTGTATGTGATGACCCGGTGTCTAGCACAGAGTAGGTCCTCAATAAATAGCATACGTGGGCATGCATTATGCATGCATGTGTATAGTGTATATATATTAGACATGCACGAATTCAAAATCATAAATATTTGATGTAGGTATCTATGTATGCATGAAAACATATCCCATGTGCGTGGGAAAGAGACAGAAGCGATTTAGAATAGAAAAAGAAAAAAAAAAGAAGAAAGGAAACAGGCCTAGGAGGCAAAAATTGGAAAGTTCTACCTTGAGACATCAGCCCTTTACTGGGCTGGAAAGCTCCTGCCGGCTGTGCTGGGCTGTGCTGAGAATGAACACACAGAGCAGACACTGCAGTGAAGCGACACGACCCAAGGAAGGGGACGTCCTGACCCTGCACGCACACAGGGGCTCTAACAGTCCCACGGGGGTCCAGGGCTCTGCAAAGGCCCCGCTTCCTTCCAGCCAGCCGGACAGAATCGATCGGCTGTGGGGGCCCAGCTGCCAGCCGTGACCATCTCGCTCTTCTCCTGTGACATTATCTGTCTGTCTCTGTCTGTGGCTGTGCGGGTGGGAGGAAAAATCAATGATGTACTCTGGGGACTGAGGGTCTCGTCTTGGCTCCCGGTGTTCCATTGTTAACTCGGTCGGGGGGACTAGAGCAGTGGCCACATGCTGGGGCATTAGCGGCCACCGGGACATGAACCAGACGGGCGTCCACCTGAGCCTCCCCACCTGCCCCAGCCGCGCCATCGTCTGCAGAGAGAATGGCTGTGTCTGAGCCATCTCTAACAGTCAGGGAGGGGGATCAGCGCGGTGGCCCTCGGGGGCTGGGAGGCATAAAAGAACAGGCAGGGTTGAAATCAAGCTCAACTCGTAAGATTAGCTAAGGGTGGGAACCTCGGGTGCACGCTTGCTCACTAACATACAGCCCTGGAAACTTCCTTCCTTCGATTAAACCGCTCCGTTCCCCTGCCAGCCACCATCTCCCCAGCTGGACCTGGTGAAGGCTAAATTCTCAGCAAAGGCACTCACGGCCTGCCCTGGTAAATGCAGCAGCCTCGCTTCTCGCAATTCCCCCTTCATTTCAAACCCTACTCCCTGAAAACCCAGGCCCTTTTACGCCTCCCTCCCTCTTCTCCAATGTTGCGTCTCCCCCACCTCCCAGAAGTGAGCGGCTTTTGATGCTTCAAGACCAGATTAGAATGTTACGTCATCTGGGAGGTCTCCCCCCATCTCCCCAGTGAGAGCAGGAAGCTCCATTCTCCCAGCATCCAGGTACCTCCTGCATCTCGGGTGATCTATGCCCTCGTCACATTGTGTTATCATCTCCTGGGCTCTCTGTGATCTCCCAAACCAAACTGAGCATCTTGGATACGATGATCTTCTTACATTTGTTGTTGAAAGGAAGACACAGCCTTAGCCTTTCAGGAGCACACAAGTCATTCTGGAAATAATACGGGCTTTGGACTCAAAGAGCATAAAATCCAGGCTCTGCCATGCCCCAGCAGTGTGACCTTGAGCAAGTGCTTTCACCTCTCTGAGCTTCAGTTGCTTCATCTATAAAGGGGGGAGTGATCGTAGCCTCTCCCTCAGGGGACCGCTAGGAAGAGTGAACGAGATGCTGTATGCAAAGCTCCCGGTATGTGGTAAGTGCTTCTGTCCCTTGGCTGCCACCGGTAGACAGGCACGTACCAGGGGTCGGAGCCAAGGTGCTCTGCTCCCGGCGGTCTCTTACCTGTCCTATACAGACGCAGAGCCTCCAGGATATGGGACCCCGCGAGCTGGACCCTCAGTGCCGGGATGTCCGGGGCCGGGGGCCCACCTGCCCCGGGCTTGTCTCCACCAGGCTCCAGTGGCGTCGAAGACCCCTGCCCACCTCTGCTCTCCACCACGGGGTGTGGCACAAGGCAGTGGATAAAGTGCAGACGAGACCGTCTGATCATGCTGGTCAGCGCATCCTAGGGCCAAGCAGAGCGGAGGTCAGGTCCAGCTGTCTCAAGGAGAGACAGACAGGGGTCCGGACACCATGCTCCCCAAACATACATTCAGGCAGGCCTGGGTATCTTTGGGGGCCCTTATGTCCTACACCAACGACCTCCCACCTACTTCCTGATTTGTACTCACGAGAAAGAAGGGCCTTTGCTGAAACAGATGGGGAAACTGAGGCCTAGAGAGGGCAAGTGAGTGGCCCCAGGTCATGCAGACCACTATCCAGGACTAGAACCTGGGACTTAGTCTCAGGGCTCTCCCAGTATAATACGATATGAGTGTTTTTCAAAAGGTACCCTTCCCGTGTCCCAGCCCCTCCTCATTCGGGCTCAGCCTGACCACTGACCAATCACACGTCCCCATCTGTTAATGGATTCAGGTTCCCGGTCTAGGTAGCACAGTTACACCCGCACAGGACCCTGCTGCCTCCCCAGGGGACAGCCTAGAAGTGAGAAAGGCAGACGGGGCTAGTCTGGCTCTGACATCTGTCACCTTACTCAGGAGAGCATTTGTCCCCAAGCCTCTCAACTCAGTACCAGGAAGCCGAGGCTTTGGCCTCAGGCTTGGATCCGTCACTTCCCAGAACTATGACGCCTTGCCACTCGAAGCCTCTGTTTTGTCCTTTGTGACGTGTGGGGGTGGGGCCTGGGGCTTGCTGGGGAGGGTGGGGATGGCGCAGGGACTCATCCTGGAGGAGGAGAGGATGCACGGCAGCGGAGGCCACCACTCCGTGGGAAAGGGCCCCTGCTCACCATCTGCAGCTTGATCTGGGAGCACGGGGCCTTCCTCCTCACCGCGGCGAGGCTGCCAGCGAACGTCCTCCTCACCACGCGGCTTCTCTGCAGCGCCTGCTGGGAGGTGCCCTCCAGACCTGCCACGGCCCGGCACACGGGGGGCAGCTTGGCCCGGGCCTGGAACAGGCTCCGCAGCTCCTCCCTGGCAGGTGGAAGGGGAGGCAGGGGCTTGAGGAGGCTCCTGGAGAAGCTTTGCCCTGGGTGGGGGTGGGCCAAGGGAATGAGCCCGCCTTGCCTCCTGCCCCGTGCTCCCCGAAGCCTCCCCTTGAGTCAGGCACCCCAGCTGCTCCCCTTCATTCACACTCCCTCCACCAGGGCTTTGCTTCGTGACAAATGTCAGCTCCTTCCTCGATGCCTCTCTGCCCCCTGCAAATGCTCTCCGCCGCCCTGTCTTTACATCATATCTGCTTCTACGGATATTCTGGTCGCTTGCACACCTGCAGCGACTCTACTAAACCTGCACTTTCCTAGAGCCCCAAATCATCGTCGTTATCCCAGAACAGGTCTAGACTGTAGCAGGGATGTGCTGTATGTTGCCGGCAAGAATGAATGACTCTCAGGCCAAAGTGGCAGTTCCTGGAGCTGCAGGATAATGTCCATTGAATACCCGGCCTCAGTCACCTGCGCAGAGGGTGCCTTCCCTTAGCATCCCTGCCATGCACGGGTTCTGCGATGAGTGGCAAGGGCACTGGCTCCTTCAGTGTCTGCTCCGGAAAACCCAGCCTCGTCCGCCCTCTTCTCTGGGCCTACTGTGAACCGGGCTCTTTAACAAGCCGTCTGCCACTTTACATCACCAAAGCCTTCCTAGATCAGACATCTGAGCTTGGCGGCATCATTCCCATTTCTCACATTAGGAAACTGAGGCCCAGGTCATGCAGCTTAAAAGAGGCAAAAATGGGATTTGAACATTTGCCTGACTTGAAAACTGTGCCATAGCCACTGAACCTTGCAGCCTGGCTCAACTTTTATTCCAAGGTGGAGGAAGCAAAAAAATCCAGAAGAGGGAAAGTGACTGCCCACCGTCACTCAGGTGACAAGGGGCAGGGTGGGGACTCCACCCAGGTTCCCTGACCACCCCATTCAGTCCTCTGGTGCTCGCTAACTTTTCCTTTGCCCCGTCCCCTGCCTTGATCTCTGTTCAGGAGTTGTGTGTCCATGAGCCCTCCTGGATTTGGGGTTTCCAGTCAACTCTGCCCACGGTGTCCAGAGAATTCTCCAAGGATCACTTAGACTCAAGCTGTACCCCGGCTATGCCACTTTTTTGCCGTGTGATCAAAGGCAAGCCACATTGCCATTTGGGCCTCCATTTTCTCATGTGTAAAATGGGGCTAAGGATCCAGTGTTGTTTTAAGGACAAAGAAGATACTTCTAAAATGTTTCTTCTGATGCAAGGCACTGAGGGGGCCGTCAGTGAATGCTCCCTCCTCACCCTCCTGCCCACCTGAAACGCCAGCACCCCCTCTCTCTGGGGCTCTCAGTTTCTGCTCTTGTCTCCAAGTTCTGCCCTTGCAGGATCCCAGCATTGAATTTGGGAACACACACACACACACACACACACACACACACACACACACACACACACACGAAACAAGCCTTTTCCAACACCCCTATGAACTGAAAGCAGAGACTGCTGCAGGCCCTGTGCCAGCACTTCTGGGATGAGCCACCAGGGAACAAGATGAGCCTTTTTTAATGCTGCAAAACATGTCATTTCGGTTTTACGACCCCCTAGTTCTAGGATGTCCATAAAAGTTGTTCCAGTCTCATCATCTCCCAGACACTTAATGCAAGGCAAAAAGCCAAAATAAGAAGTCAGAGCTTTTTAGCTTCTGTTCCACCTCCCCGGAAGGCCAGGCCTTCTCCTCGGCTGGATTCGCTCAGGCCCTGGGGAGGCAGTGCGCCGCTCCAATTCAAGTCGTGGCTTTGTGTTCCGTTATGCAGGGAAGGGACTCCCAGACCGGCCCTCCCTCACGGGCCGGCCGCTGTGACTGCGTAGCCCAGGTGGGGAGGAAAACGCAGCACCTCAAATGCCCCGGCCCTGCCCCCAGCCCTGGCCTGACTCACCTTTTCGACTGCTGCAGGACCTGCGGGGCCTCCAGGGCTGACAGGTTGGGCTTGGCTCTCTGGAGCCAGCCAGTGAGGTCATAGCGCACAGGGTCCCGTCCCAGCTGGTGGGAAATCTCGCACTGCAGGGGCTGCTCGCAGGTCCTCAGGGCAGAGGTCCCTGAAAACGGACACAGTGGCACGAGTGCTGGGGTCTGGTGGGGACACTCTGCAATCAGTCGTCACACCCCAAAACACACTTTCCCCATTTTAGTACGTTTCCAGATAGCTAAAGCTAGAGAGGTTGAGGGCACCCACATTTCCCCCCTTGCTCCTTGCTCTCTTCTATCCGGGATAACTGTTTCTCCCAAACACCATCCGTACACACACTCTTCTTGAGTTTTGTGCTATATATATCTCCGTGTACCACCTGGGCTGTGATTTACTTGGTGTTTTCTTCAAACGGATTCACATTTCACAAGTACAGTACATTGATTTAGACAGAAGCATTATGTTGTAGGTTTGATGTGCAAGCTATGTTTATTTTCTAATATGCATGGAAGTAAATACATAATGATTAAATATTTTAGAAATATTTAGTTGTGTGCCGCCCAAAGTCATCTTGAATACCACCAACCAAAGATAGGCACGGCATACTCTTGGGAGACTCTGCCACATGCTTAGTGACAAGAGACAGAGTAGGAGAAGTAAATGGGCTTGATCTTGGGAGGGAGAGAAAACCTGGGTTCTCCACCCCTCATTACCGTGTGAAAGGGGCCGGGCCACGCAAGCCTCTGAACATCGTTTCCTCCTCTGTAAAACGTGCATTAAATAATACATACCTCCCAGCGCGGCTTACGGCTTAAGGAGATAATGCGTGTAAAATATTTTGGTCGGTACCTGGCAGATAGTGGCCACTCAATAAGCAGTAGTGGTTGTCATTTAATCATTACTACGCTTCGTCTTTCTAATGTGCATGGAAGTAAATACGTAATGATTAAATATTTTAAAAATATTTAGTCATGTACCGCCAAAAATCATCTTGAACGTCATCGACCAGATAAATGCACAGCGTACTCTTGGAAGACTCTGCATTTAACCCTTTACTGCCTTTGCTGCCTTTTAACCTTTTGCCGATGTCCCAGAGTCACCAGTGTTTACCTCCATATCCCTGGGGTTCACCGCCATGCGCGGGACATGAGCAGAGTCCGGAAGTGCTTGCGGAATGAATCAATGAGTGGCCATTTATGACATCATTCTAACTGTCGTGATGCTCCTAGGTGAAGTCCCCACATTTGGGATGGTGGTCCCCACACTGGATGGCCCCAGGCTGATTATCGTTTGGAATGATCACATTGTTTTGCTCCTTCTGTCTATTCTGGGTGACATTGCTTTGCTTTCCTGTCCTGTTAGTGTCAACACACCGCATGCGTGAGGGTCTTGAGATCTTCTCCCAAATCCTAATTTGTTGCCTCTCACTTGAAGTAAGCTAGAAAACAAAGGACCTGCATTTCTTGGAACTCCATGCAAAATAATAAAGACAGCCTGAGAGTGTGCAGGCTTCCGTGAGTCTTCAGGTGAGGAAAGGGCGTGGCTTCTGCCACCTGTTTGGCTCTTAGAGGTCTCTGTGCTCCCTCGCCAACTGCCTCTGTGTCCCGGGTAATTGAAGTCACCAGCAAAGAACACTCCTAGTTAAGTGAAGTTTTGCTGCATCGAGAGCCTCCCATGAGCCTTTCAGGGGCCTGCAGTCCCTGCCCTCAAGGGAGTCACCTTCTAGTGGGAGAGAAAAGCATCCCTCTTGGAGCCAGATGACAAAGCACACACCAGGTTGTGGCACAAATGTCCCCGATGTCCCTATAACGCTGCAGGACTCTGCTCACACGGCTGTCGCCCTCCACTGAACTGGAAGCAACTAGAGGACAGGGGTTGTGTTGAAGCATCGTAATGGTCAGCAGCTGGCACAGATCTGAGCACAGATCTGGCAGATCAGCAGCTGGCACAGATCTGAGCACAGATCTGGCAGATCAGCAGCTGGCACAGATCTGAATGAGGACCCAGCAGAGCTGGGGGAGAGGGAAGGGAGGATGGTGATGCTGGTTAAGCCCCAGCTCCTAGCACTCTCTGCTGGACACGCTGCCACGAGTGATTCCACTCGGTCCCCACTCTGGCTGGTGACGTGAGCATCTCTGAGCTGGGTTCTAGAAGCTGATTTTAAAGTTCAGAGAGATGAGGCGGTTTGGCTAATGCTGCACAGCAGGATGAGGACACAGGTCCGCTGGGCCCAAAGCCTGCCTCTGTCCAGGGTGCTGGCAGCACACAGAGATGCCACATTTCCCAGGAACTGTCCTGGAAAACAGCTCCCAGGTTGCAGGTCTGCCTGTTACCCTCGTTCACTCCTTCCTCCCAGAGCTGGTTTTCATGCCACAGTTTTATTCATCAAAGCATTTCTAATGAAGCCTCTTGCTTTCAGAAGCCCCGTGGAAACTCCTGGGGTTAGGGCCTTACCTGGTATATTTCTTTCGTGGCTTCCGCCTTCATGACCTACCCCAGGAGTCTGAGCCCCTATGCGGGGTCCCCTTGGCTCCTACAAGTCACCACCTGCATTGATGAATGCTGTCGCCTGAATGTCCCCCAGGGCTGGGCTCCACGGGCTGACCCCAACCCCACTGGCCGTTGCGGGGACACTCGACAAACGTACCTTAGGTAAAGGTAAGAGGTCATAGCAGCGAGTGCTGGGTGAGCCAGAAGGCCCTAAATGTTCTGGTTGATTGAATGTTCTCATTAACTCAGAGCTAATCAGAAAGCCCTAGAGGAAAAGAACTTTTTTTTTCCAGCCAAAATGTCTGAATTAATGTGTCTGTCTCAGTCAGTTCAGGGCAAAGGATGTAATAGAGTCTCTCCCTTGGGAACTGAGATCTTCATAACATCCTGCTAGGGGTGTCTGGGATGGGCACCATCGAGCCTCAGGAAAAATGAGAGGGGCCACAAATCTAGCTGAGCCCCCCTCTGCCCTCCCCAGCCTCCCCGACAAGATGCCTTCTGCTTCCAACCCTACTTTCTGTCTCTTTTGCCTAAATGGCAGGATCCAGAAAACGTTCCATTTGAGAATTCCATTTCATTTGAACCTGGATCATTGAGTTTCCACATACTCATCAATTTTGTAACAAGTATTTGCAGTGCGCTTAATCATGCCAGCTGTTCCGGGTGCCGTCTCTGCAGAGGCCAACAGCCCAGCCCCCGTCCCCAGGGAGCGGGCAATCCCCCTGGGGGCAGACGGCCAAGGGACAAGTGTGGGGCATGCCCTGGTGACCAGTGCGATGGAGAACAGGAAAGCAGGGGAGGGAGACGGGAGCGCAGGAGGGGGGCGGGGGAGGGGGTCTGTGATTCCACACGAGGTGGTCAGAGAGAGCCCAAGACCCCATCATGCTGGAACGTGGAGGAGGGAACTGATCATGCCAGGGCACTCAGCGGGGAACGCACTTGGCGTGTCTGAGCAGCAGCACAGAGATCATGTGGCGGGAACTGGAGCCGGGAATGAAAAACACTGATGTCCCCTTGCCAGGCTCAGGGCCCTGGGCAGACAGTGAGCAGACAGAGGTGCCCCTGCCCTCAGGGAGCTCACGGGGGCATGGGGACAACGGAGCAAAGGCAGGAAACACGCACAACGTCACAGAGCCTGGCGAGGGCCCCAACGGGAATAGGGAGGAAGTTGTGATGGGCAGCAGGGCTGCCCAGGGGACAGCGTCAGACAGGGCACGGAGACGGTCTCTGAGGGGTGACCTCGAGCAGAGGGCTGCAGGAGGAGGAGGTGTAAGTGCCTCTTTGACACGTCGGAGCAGCCGTCCTCACAACAGCCCTGAGACAGGCTTTACCGTGACCGCCGTTTTACAGAGAGGGGAGGTGACTTCCCGGAGGTCACACACACGGCAGCTGAGCAGCGAGCAGGGAGCCGGCTCCGGCCTCTGTGGGCCAAAGCCCCAGCTCCCCACAGCTTTACCTCCTGCCTTGCCCACTCCCCGAAACCCCCTCTCCTGAGCCCACCAAACACGCAGACTGGAGCCACTCTAGCCTGGAGAGGGGTCGCGAGTCTGCCCGGCCTTTGGAGTGAGGCCATGGGGTTTAGTGCTTGCTCTGTGCTTGGCACCTACAGGGCCCTGGGAAGCCACCTGGCCTTGGTAAGGGCTTGGGTATGTCGCTGTAGGGGGTGCAGTGAAGCCCACAAGGTCTGGCTCCGATGAAGGTCTCCACAAATGACAGTGTCTGCCTCTCCTGCCCCCTTCATTCTCCTTCACCAGCTGGCAAAGGGGTGACATAACTCACACCCTAGCACCTGGGTGGAGGGGAGACAGTCATCGCCTGGATCAAGTCGGATGCCAGGACCTCTCCAGGGCAAGGACAGCCCAGGGCTACATTATGGCTTCCTGGGCCTTAGGCACTTTTGCTATCACAGGCGTTTTCCTGCATAAAATACACACACACACACATATGCATACATGCATAGGCACACACATACATACACACGCATACATACACACACATACACATACACACACATACAGTCATGCATTTCTTAATGATGGGGACACATTCTGCGAAATGAGTCCTTAAGTGGTTTTGTTGTTGTGTGTGAACATCACAGCGTGCATGTACACAAACTGGATGGCGCAGCCTGCCACACACCTAGGCCATACGGTGTGGCCTGTTACTCCTGGGCTGTGAACCTGTACAGCGTGTGACTGTACTGAATACCGTAGGCAGTTATAATAAAATGGCAAGGATTTCTGCGCCTCGACATATCTAAACATAGGGAAGGTATAGTAAAAACACCGCCTTGTAATCTTAGGGGACCACCATGGGGTCCATCGTTGACTGAAACGTCATCACACAGCACGTGACTGTATGTACAAGGGCTGTCCGGAAAGTATCCAGCCATCGTTAATATAATGAGAGCATATCACATGGCTGGACACTTTCCAGACAGCCTTTGTACATGCACATGCATGTATGTCTATATACACACACAAAATTATATTTCATGACTATTGGTATAAAGATAAATAGATTAATA